ACTATAAGAAATACTCCTCTCAGTATATATACACTATAAGAAATACTCCTCTCAGTGTATATACACTATAAGAAATACTCCTCTCAGTATATATACACTATAAGAAATACTCCTCTCAGTGTATATACACTATAAGAAATACTCCTCTCAGTGTATATACACTATAAGAAATACTCCTCTCAGCATATATACACTATAAGAAATACTTCTCTCAGTGTATATACACTATAAGAAATACTCCTCTCAGTGTATATACACTATAAGAAATACTCCTCTCAGTGTATATACACTATAAGAAATACTCCTCTCAGTGTATATACACTATAAGAAATACTCCTCTCAGTGTATATACACTATAAGAAATACTCCTCTCAGTATATATACACTATAAGAAATACTCCTCTCAGTGTATATACACTATAAGAAATACTCCTCTCAGTATATATACACTATAAGAAATACTCCTCTCAGTGTATATACACTATAAGAAATACTCCTCTCAGTGTATATACATTATAAGAAATACTCCTCTCAGTGTATATACACTATAAGAAATACTCCTCTCAGTGTATATACACTATAAGAAATACTCCTCTCAGTGTATATACACTATGAGAAATATTCCTCTCAGTCTATATACACTATGAGAAATATTCCTCTCAGTCTATATACACTATAAGAAATACTCCTCTCAGTGTATATACACTATAAGAAATACTTCTCTCAGTGTATATATCCTGTGAGAAAATGTGAAATCGCTGTCATTTATGGGATTTATATGAGTAAATTAGGAATTACAGGAATAAATTATAAATAAATAAGATTTAATTTAAGGAAGCAGAAAATATTGTAATGTATTAACATTTTCTAAAAAATATTTTTCTAGCATAAGGAAACATAAGAAAGGAGGAACACTGCAGCAGGCCTACTGGCCCATACTTGGCAGGTTCTTCTCAAACCCAAACCCACTAAAAAATGTTCGCCCAACCCATCATCAGTGTTGCCCAGCTTTAATGACCCTATTAACTCGAATGCAAGTTTTAGGAATGATAGAAATTATAGATAGAGAAGTTAAAAATATAAATTTTAGGAATTATATCAAAAATTACAGGAGAATATTGCATGAAAAAACTAATATTCCTATATTAACTTTGTACGAATAAACTGGAGGATTTTTTAATTAATTTATCAGAAATAATATCACATAAAATGTAGAAAAAGGTCTTAGTAAAGAGAAGCGTTAGAAGCAGAATAAGACTCAACAGTTTTAGGAAAGACAAAGACGTAAAGTGAGTGCTTGGAGTGAGTACTTAAAGTGAGTACTTAAAGCTGACGAGCCTCTGCAAGATATTATATATATATATATATATATATATATATATATATATATATATATATATATATATATATATATATATATATATTAATATATATATTATATATATATATATATATATATATATATATATATATATATATATTATATATATATATATTTATATATATATATATATATATATATATATATATTATATATATATATATAATATACATATATATATATAATATATATATATATATATATAATATATATATATATATTATATATATATATATATATATATTATATATATACATATATATATATATGTGTGTGTGGTGTACATACTTACGTGCCTAGGGAGAGAATATCAAAATGCGTTAGTTATAAAAATATACATGAAAACTCGAGTTCTTTCATATGCTTACACACACACATAGCTTCCTCTTACACACACACATAGCTTCCTCTTACACACACACACAGCTTCCTCTTACACACACACATAGCTTCCTCTTTCAATATGTGTCAAAGCACACGGAAACGTTCAAGCTTTCCTGTTTATTTTTTCACTGTTTTTTTTTTATATTTGCAGTTCACGCGTTTTATTGTGATTTGTTTTAGAGAGAATATATTTTGACTGTATTATGTTGATATGCATGTAATAACAGTAAAGAAGGTTTTATTAAAAAATGTCTTTCCTTTACTATTATTGTCAGTACGTCATTCATCAGTATCCTGAAGATGGTAATGCTTAAAGAAATATTATACAATGGTAATTAACTTGACTCACGAAATCGTAATGACATGATTGCAAACAAACCATACCACGGATGGGGATAGAACCCGCGATCAGAGAGTCTCGAAACTCCAGACCGTCGCTAGCTGGTCCAGTGGCTAACGCGACTGTCTGGAGTTTTGAGACTCTGATCGCGGGTTCTATCCCCGCCCGTGGTATGGTTTGTAATTACCTTGATATGACAAAAATTTACTCATCAGCATCACTGCAAGTATCCACTAGCTAAGTTTTAAATACTTTTTAGGGAAACTTTAATTATTTTCATAATACTGATTTTGCAAACTCATTTTCCTGGTCGTAAACTCATCGCTGATGTCAGCAGGTTGACGTTATATTAAGTGTTGTTTTAAAGTAATTATAAGGGGATTCCGTCTTCTAAGACGAGTAATTCTCAGAGTCAGTTGGTGCATGGAGTCACAGAAGCGAGCTGACAGGGGAAAACGTGATAACGACATACAAAATACTGCGAGGAATTGACAAGGTGGACAAAGACAGGATGTTCCAGAGATGAGACACAGAGACAAGGGGTCACAATTGGAAGCTGATGACTCCTATGAGTCAAAGGGATGTTAGGAAGTATTTCTTTAGTCATAGAGTTGTCAGGAAGTGGAATAGCCTAGAAAGTGACGTAGTGGAGGCAGGAATCATACATAGTTTTAAGACGAGGTTTGATGAAGCTCATGGAGCAGGGAGAGAGAGGACCTAGTAGCAACAAGTGAATAGGCGGGGCCAGGTACTATGATTCGACCCCTGCAACCACAAATAGGTGAGTACAGTCCTCGAACTTGCACAGTAAGGTAGGTAAAGGGAAAGCCAGCTAACAGTATATATATACACTGATGAGTATATCACTCCTGATGAGTATATTCCTAGTGTTCATGCATACTTACCAGGGAGTTTATCTCAGCATGTGTACATTTAGAGTTTGTTTTATTCCCTGTGGTAGGGAATAAAGTATCCTTGACTAATGGTGTACAAAGTGACATGCAGCTTTAATGACATCTCGCGTAGTCGACAGTCTGTAATCCAACTAGGTAAATGCCAAAGAGACTTGAAACAGTCTTGTAATAACATTTCGTTCAAAGTGAGTTTGAAAGAGTTTACGCTTTTCAAGTGTATTCGTCATCCCTAATATGTAAGATAGAAGAGACCAGCGATGAGCTTTCCACAAACTCACAGTGTCTTTCAGTGTATATATGCCGACTGAACCTTAACACCCACTTTAAGCATTATAATATTCTTGACTGCTGGTATAGGAGAAATGCAGCCTTAACAACCTTCGTGTAATCTTATTGATCACCCAACCTGAGAAGCTAAATAAGAGATAGTATAAAATATCGACAAATGTAATATAAAACACATGCGCAGTGTTAGGTTATTTCTAGGATAATAACACTGCACTTGTATCTTAAATCACAGCTCGAGTCACTACAAGAAAATCTGCCAGTGGAAATTCGTCACTGCATTTTTCCTGCAAGACTTTAAGTTGGAGTCTACTACACGCCTCAGAACACCGCCAACTTTACTTGCGACTGCAGACCTTGACGTATTTGATCAAGCATAAAGTGTGTCGCTCTGTATTTGACTGCCATTTAAACTTTCCTAGCGCCATATGATAGTTGTATCGTCCTCACTACGACTCGTTACTCCGTAATTACAATGTACTCGTTGAGTTGTATTTATAGTGGCTGTGAATAAGACACATGTACATCACTTGGGTACCTTTTTGAAGATGCTCCTCCTTACACATAGTTAAAGTAACTAATGTGGTTCATCACTAGACAACTTTTCCCTCGTTAAGTAAATATTTTTCGTCATGAAAAGACTTGAAAAACTTGTTTCTGCTATAAGCATTACACTAATTGCTTCCCTATTTTTTATTAAGAAGACGTTTCGCACACTGTCCTGCTTACTATCTTTCTTTTGTACCTATTGTTGGTTGAACTCCAGCAGCCACTTGTTTACTCATTCCTGCAGAATGATCATTTGGGTTTTAAGATTCTATCGTTTCTTATTCTTGTCATTCTCAGTAGTGTTGTGTCATTGTCGAACCACGAGATGTAGTGCTGATTATTATGCTAGGTCGTCTGCATGCATTTAAAAGAGCATGTGTGGTAAGATTCTTTCTGGTGAGGAAGGTAATTAAGATTTAAAGCCTGTCTACTACACAATGGTTATTAAGGCTTAATGTTACTTGTTTACAACCAAAACAGAATACTTTAATTACACCAACTCTCAGTGTGTATTCCTGGAGTATACCTGGAGAGAGTTCCGGGGTTCAACACCCTCGCAGCCCGGTCTGTGACCAGGCCTCATGGTTGACCAGGGCCTGATCAACCGGTAATCCCTTTATGTATGCTGGGAGGCAGTTGAACAGTGGTGGGCCCCTGACACTGAGGGATGGTGTATAATATATATTCTGTGGCTTCCTTTGGGAACACTTACTGTTAATTTGACCAGATATGACTGTTTTAAATTTAGAAAAGTGTTCATGATTTTGAGTTAGAAAACCAGCACTGTGTCCTAGAATGAGTGAATCTAAAAATTAATTTAAATATAGTTATGGAATATATTGTTTAAAAATGAAGAAGTCTGAAGAGGAGCAATTATACATTGTTAATGATTAATTATTTTCTATATATTATTTAGTAGAACACAGGGGAACATGAAGACGACGATCAATACACAAATAACCCACACATAGGAGAAAGAAGATTATGATGATGTTTCGGTCCGGCTTGGACCATCAACAAAATCAACAAATCATACTATCAGAGAGACAAATTGTTTGAATAAAGAAGACCAGGATCAAGGGGATACAAGTGGAAGGTGAAGACACAGATCAGCCACAGTGTACAAAAACAGCAGCGGTGTACTCACCTTCTGAAGTCTTTCGCCCAACAGGCGTAGATAACTGGGTTCATTGCTGAGTTAATCCAGCCAAGCCAAGTGACGACTCCGTCAACCAGCGCTGGCTCCCGTATACATCTCTCACCACAGAGCCCCGACAGCAGGTTGGTGACGAAGAATGGAAGCCAACACACTATAAATACACCCATCACTATTCCAAGGGTCTTGGCTGCTTTCTTCTCCTTGGCAAATTTACAAAGTTTACGCGAAATAGAAAAGTTTTTCAAGTTTCGAGAAACCACTTTAGTGGAGCTTTCTGGAGACGTACTGTCGTGCATCGGTCCCAAAGGACAAGACTCACCGTCTTCAAGGGACGGAACTATACCGTGAGGGTCATTGATGCCACCGTTTTCCTGTGTACAACTGTAAGTTTTGCCCGCAGGGTAATGCGCTCTGTGGACACCATTACTACTGGTGCTGCCGCTTGTCCCGCCTCCACCACGATGGATGCGAAGAGTTAGCTCCATTTCTCCGTCTCCCATGACCGAAACTAGCTTCTGACCAAGCTTAAGTGAGCGAGTTTGTTCTGTGGCAGCACGGTAGATGCGGAAGTACGTGAATACCATAACTAGTAAAGGCCCATAAAAACTAATAGTAGACGAGAAGACTAAATAGGAAAGATCCTCCGTGAAGGGGCAGGCTCCGGCAGGGTGAGGCTCTGACACGGCTCTCCACCAGGCGATGGCAGGGAAGGAGATAAGGGCTGAGCACACCCACACTAAGGCAATGAGCATGCAAGCACGTCGAGGTGACATGCGGCTGGGATAGCTAAAAGGGTCTGTGATGGCCCAGTATCTGTCGAGTGATATGACGCATAGGTTAAGTATGGATGCTGTTGAAGCAAGAACATCGAAGCTACGCCATACATCACAAAAGTCAGTACCAAATGGCCAGTAGTCAAAGGAATCGTATAGAGCACTAAAGGGCATTACAAGAGCGCCAACTAGGCAGTCTGCTACGGCTAAAGACATGATAAAGTAGTTGGTTACTGTATGAAGATATCGCTCCCGGGCCACAGCCACTATCACTAACCCGTTCCCGAAAATGGTGGAAACGGCGAAGAAGAGAAGTAGAAGGCATAGCGCTAGGCTCTCAGGAGTGACAATTAACGGCGATGTGTCCACTACACACCCTGATCCATCTAAGGAAAGGTTTTTACATGTGAGAGACACATTTAAGTTAATAGGTGGACCATCATTGTCCAAGTTCCAAGTTGTTTCGTTGATCCAGTCAGTAGCACTAGTTCTAGGGTCCAGTAGCAGTGGTCCAGTTGTACCTGCTGTCTTGAACCACCACTGGGACTCACTGCTTCCTGACGTGTTAATAACAAAACTGATTCCAAATTTACTATCTTTAGTATCGCTTCTTTCTCTGCTTGATCCTAAGTAGTGATGTATCTCATTGTTTTCTGCGAGCCCTGCTGTATTGTGCTCCTTCTCAGAGCTCGCTGCCTCTCCTACATTTCGCACGTCAAGAAGCGTCTTCAGCCAATTCCCTTTCCCTGCTGTCTCCGGAGTCAACACCTCCGTCCTTCCTGTAAGTGTATGCTCACTAAGAGGCTGTCCGTTTCTCCAGGGAGACAGAGGAGGATGGACAGAGGCACTTGCAGCCTGCAACCAGCCTTCCTCTGTCACGTCCTGAGGAGCCGAGCCGTCAAGAATGAACGGAGTATCATCCAGGTTCACGGCCTGACCGTCTTGAGAGAAGTCTGACACTCTCAGTCCGAATAGACTGTGCACGTGTTTTTCCCAGTTGGCAGAGCGATTAGCATTAATAGTAGGAATCATTTTAAGAGCTGTCAGATGGCAGGTGAGGGGTGTAGTGATGGTAAAGACCTTCAGTGAGAGCTGTTTTGCATTAAGCAGGGACACTCATCTGAAACAAGTTTTTGAGATATGATGACCTGGTCAGTAGTGGCTTTGGTAGTATGCCGGAACTGTGTGGTGCTGTAGACGATGGTGTTTATTAACACAGATGTGAATATAGTAGACTTTAGCCCAATAGCGGAGGCGCGGCAAGTAGCAGCCGCTGGTGAGAAGTGCTGAAGATGCTGCTGTCTGCTAGCAGGTGTTATGTCACTGGTGAGTAACAACAGACTGTACACCAGCAGAGGTGAAGCACGAGTGACCTACACTTCAAGTTGACTCCTGATAACGTTCAGTTGCCAAACGCCTGCGTAGTACAGTTGCAATGATTATCAAATTTAGGCTTACATAAACAATACCTGGAGCCAAATATATTGTCAATGAACTAATAAGAAAAGAACGATTTTTTTAAGAGATCGGATATCACCCAAAACATTATTTTTCACCTTGGATATGAGCTGTTATACTGCTTATCTTTTTCTTTCTTTTTTCATCATGGTGCTCCAGAAAAGAATTTATCACTCGCAAAAATATTTCCACTGATTAATTTTCCTTGGAGCAACCGAGTGTTTACTCCCTTCGGAAATACACTAGCGGTTTCTGAT